AGGCCCCTGTGCAGACATAACTGTGGGTCTGGTTCCCTCAGGGTCTTGGGGTGGAGGGGAGACTGCTTTAATACCTGTGAGCCATTTAGTGTAGTACATAAGGGTTGTTTGCTGATTTGGGGGAATTTCCTTTTAGGCCTAGATAATTGATTATATTATTATTTAAAATTTTTTCATGTACTCTTATGATAAAGAAAATAAGGTATAGCAAACAGTCTTCTCTGGTGAGATTGTGGGTTATTTCAGATAACTGACCAATCATTTTTTTAATTTTTAAAAAATACTTATTTTGAGAGAGAGAGAGAGAGAGAGAGAGAGAGAGAGAGTGAGTTGGTTGAGCATCTGACTTTGGCTCGGGTCATGATCTCACAGTTCACAAGTTTGAACCCAGCATCAGGCTCACTGCTGTCAGTGCAAAGCCTGCTTCAGGTCCTCTGTCCCCCTCTCTTTGGCACCCCCCCCCCCCACTCATGCTCACTCTCTCTCTCAAAAATAAACACTTCTTAAAGGTAAGTATTACAAGTTTCATTTTCTGATAAAAATAATACATATGTATATTAAACAAAATTTAGAATGTAATGCAGAAAAGTACAAAATGCAAATCACACATAACTGGAAATAACCACTGTAAATATTTTACTCTAAACTTTTTGTCTATAGAAATGCATATTTAAAAAAATTGGAGCCATACTACACAGATTAGCGGTCTTTATATTTCCATCTTCTTGAAAAATTCCTATTAAATTTTTGGTGTAATGGATAAGCCTTGACAAAACCCAACTAGACACATCAGCTCCTCCTACCACCCACCTGTGGGCCTGTTCCAACCCAGAACATCTGATGGCAGCTGATTGCTGAGCTGGGGGTTGTTTCCTTGTTCTGAAGTGTCTTTGAACCCAGCTCCTAGCAGCTCTGAAAGTCCCAAGACAACAAGCTCAGACTGCCCTAGAAGTTGGCAAGGATTCTGACAACAGAAAACACACTTTTAAAACAAAACAAAACAAAACAAAACAAAAAAAAGGTGCTTTGAGAATGTGTGCAGCCTGAAAGTAATTAATTGAATGCATAGCAGTGATTTCCTTCCTCTTGGCCAAAGGCAGATTTGCAAAGGAAATGGGCACTTCAGATACAGACCAACTTCAATGTTTACATAATTTACACTCTGGGCCACCAAGCAGAAAGATCCTAATCCAGCTTAGTACCTGTGGAAACAACCTGGAGATCTCTTCTGTTGTGAGCTGTGGAGAGCAACTGGGATGGTTTAGGCATAAAGTGACCCCATGGGTTAACTCCCAGAAGGCAGAGAAGGAGCTTAGCAGCACAGCACAATGGTTAAGGGCTCACAGCTCAAACCCAGCTCTATGTCTTTGGATGAATTACTTTACTTCTTTGTGCCCCCAGGTAAAAATGATGTACTTTAGTTCACATGATAGAGGTGGTCCTTAAAAAGTTTTTGCATAATTGTAAGGGATAGGGAAAAATCTAGTTTGAAACAAAATAAAAATAGTTTGCCCATTTGAAATCAATGGGTAAGAGCTGCCTCTGAACTAGTGGGATCTACAATGGTCCCATCGTGCCATCCAGTGGACAGAAAGGGGAAAGGCGTGATTTTATCTTCCAAATTTGTAATTTACCAAAAACATGTATATTGAAGAGGATAATTTCAACTCACCAATAGATTCACTTGTTAATAAATTTCATTCCATTTTTAGGGTGTGCCTCAGTGGCTCAGTTGGTTAAGCATCCAGCTTGATTTCAGTTTGTACATCATCTCACATTGGTGGGTTCGAGCCCTGCGTTAGGCTTCATGCTGGGCTCCACACTGCCCATGGAGCCTGCTTAGGATTGTCCCTCTCACCTCTGCCTCTGCCCCCCCCCCAATACATACATACATACATAAATTTCATTCCATTTTAAAACCAAAATAAAAGATCAGAAGTCTAAACACTAAGTGCTAAAACTAAATTCCCAAAACCAGTTAGGATATGTGATGTATGCTAGAAAGATCATCCACTGAAGGAAAACGGAATACACACCAGTCCTTACTAGCATGAATTTTTACAGCCCACCTTCCCCATTCTTCGTATCTCTCTGTCTCTGCCAACACTCTTTATGCTTATTCTGGTATGTGGACCAGGAGAACCACAGAGACTCAAAGTGTCTTCTCAACACATAACTAGAACTTGACTGGTACCAGAGCCATTCTGCTCATTTTTCAAGAATGCAACTGTCACTTAAAATTTTGCTGATATCAAATTGAGTATTTTTCAAGGGCCTGTGTGTTTGGTTTGGGTTTTCATGTGTGTGTGTGTGTGTGTGTGTGTGTGTGTGTGTGTGTACTCTGTGTTTCCTTTTAAAGCCATTTATTACCTCTATAATTTGTTTCTTCCCCCAGATATTTATGAGGGTGAAGACAATAGCAAACAAATCTCCCCCAAACATGAGTAGTAATAGCATACTTGGAGTACCAAGAGCTGTTCTGAGACCTTCTCTTTGGTATTATTGTAATCACTATTAACAGTAATCATAACAGGTGTTATTTATTAAATTCCTAAGAGGTACCAGACATTTTACTTTATAAACCTTTTTGCTAATCCTTATATCAAAGCTGTGATAGATATTATTATCCCCATTTTTACAGACAAGAAAAGATGCTCAGAGAGGTTAAGTGACTTACCCCAGATCACACAGCTAGTGAGTGGGTGGCAAAGTCAGAACTGCACTCGGTCTCACTGACTCCAAAGCCCCTGCTCCTGCCACTGGGCAGAGGGTCTTTCCTTTATTCACTCATATGACCTGCCAGACCCTGAGCCCAAGATTCTGGGGTCTCCATAGTGCTGTCACCGCTATAGTACCTAAGACCCCTAGGAGCCCATGGCCAGTGGATCCAGGAGGAAGGGATTAAATACGCGAATGACAAAGATATAGCAAAACTCATCCTGTGAGCTGCACTTTCGGCCCCAACATTTCCAGCTTTGACTGAAGGACGTTCTCC